TCTGAGGTTTCATTTATGAATCCTTCCCATCAGAATGAAGTGTAAAAACCTTAATTGTCTTCTTTGATGCCTACTCCACCACCACTTTTTCAAACATTAACAATTACTCAACCAGCCTTGTTAGAAGACCCCCTTAATGCAGATTTTTCAATTACAATTATTATTATCCATCCTTATACATATTATATTCATATATGGATATTTGCTGTGCTTGTGTCAATGAACCTGCATGTTGTAAACATCTTCAGTCTGTAAGTAGACACAGATTAATCTGTAAGTAGACACAGATTAATTAACATTTTCAGCTATAATGTTATCTTTTGATATGAAACAAATAATTCTTTGCATTCTTTTTTTGCTTAATAAAGATATGAGAGGTGCTACTAAAGTAATGTCTCTTTTTTACTTTGTTAGCCCATGATGTCAGAAGTGGATGTTGGTGGTATGGTAATAGAGGCTGAATCTTCCCATCAATATTCCTTCATATTTTGTTGGCGTGCAACAGATGTCAGTAGAGAGGCAGCCTGACAAAATTGCGTCTGACATGGAAGTGCATGTGGTGCAAATGTGTGTAACCAAATTCCTCCATACTGGAAAAAAAAAAAAAAAAATTGCATGCAAAAAAATTGCATTGGCATTCATCAGTACTTGCTGAACATTGATGGAGACCGAACAGTGGGTATGAGCACAGAGAGGCAGTGGGTGGCACGTCTCAAGAGTAGCGACAGTGACGGTGGGTCACCTCCACTGGTGGCAGATGTTTACAGGCGCAGCATGCATGTTCAGCACTAGTGAAAAAGCATAACTAATGATTGTGACTCTGTTGAAGAACAGTGTTTTGCAGCTGAGAATTTGCTCTGTCAAATAGTGTTATTGTGCTCTGTTACAGTCTCCACAGAATTAAATAAAAGGCATTACTTACTAAGTACCTCCCTACATTGGTTTACTCAAGTTGTATTGTTTGGTAAACTTAAAGTTATTAAGTATCGGAAAGGATCTGCCCAGTACGCATTTTCAGGATGCTGAGGTAGAAAAAAATGGACTGCGCTGAGGAAGCACAAGAGAAAATTTCAAGCTAAAATACTGCAGTGTCTGAAAAAAGCTTCCATTTCAAAACCTACTGATAAGAGTGAAAAATTTGTAAATACAGTCAGATAATTTTAATTACCATTTTGTATGAATTAGCAATATTTTTCTTCCTAGATGACATAACCTACTTTTCAACTTCCCCTGAATGTGCCACATGCTGTATTGACTACATTATAAAGCAAATCTGGGGAAACAGAAATAACTGTCTCAATAACAAGTTGTAAATTCCAGAATATTAGAAACTTGTATTCAAAGACCTGTACTGTGCAGATAACAAAGCATAGATTTGGGTCCATAAATTACTGACATTATGTTCTTCACATGTTTTGTATTACATAGCAATTCAGAACTTTTTAAAACTTAAATATGCATAAACACTACTATTCATACCTAATTCACAGTAAGGAACACTACTCATCAGATTAGGAGCCTAACCTTTATATATATTATTATGCTCTACATAAAATTAACTTTATTTGGATATTATGTGAGATCCTATTCAATTGATTCTGAGATTAAGCAACTGCTCAGCAAGAAACCATGATTTGGTTTGGGTTGTAGGGCTCTCCCACAGGAATCCTCTAACTACATCTTTTACAGCAGCTGCTGAAGCATTCACCCACTCTGCCCCACAGAAAACTTTCAGAGACCTCAGAGGTGCCTTTAAAAAGCACCTCCTACATTCTCACATGGGCTAGATGTGGCAGTTGTGAAAAATCAGTAGCAGAACTTCAGAAACTTTCACCAGGAGAGGCCTCAACCAGGAGATCAATACACATGGGCACCTGGCCAAAACTGTTAGTGAGTGTTGCCAGGCATTATTTTCTAGTAAAGTATAAATTACAGGGGAAAAAAAAATACATACATATACATATGTATGTATATATATATATACTCACATTCTTTGAACACACTGGATGAGTGGTGTTCTCACTAGATGGATGAGAAACAAATGTAATGAAAATATTCTAGAGTAAGCCAGTCTTTCTGTTAATAAGCACAAGATGATTATGCTGGACCATGCAGGTCAGGCAGTCCTCTATACATACTTGCCTATTGGGCACAGAAAACTTCAAGCTGCCTGAAGTATTGTGGCAAAGAAACTCAGTTCAAAATGCATCTACTACTCTGATGCACAAATCAGTACAGAGGTAAAAAAAGGCAACAATGATTCAAAAATTGGCAAGGAAGCATATGATCATTCTGTACTTTCAGGATTTCCAGAGCATACAAAGTGAACTAAAAATCCTTGGGGGGAAAAAAAACAAATCTTCAAAGTTTTGCAGCATCCTAGTTGTATTAACAGCAAAAATGAAGACAGTATTTCAGTCCATTATGCCCTAAAGCAGCCTTCTCAGAAAAGAAAAACCTGGCTAATACAATTACTAATTCATATCCTGGAGTCGCTTCCTTTTATTCACACCATCTTAAAACATCAAGGAGCCTCTTCTTTCCTCTGTTCAGGCTTTGATTCTCCTGTCTGACACCACTTTTCTCTTTGCATTTTGTTTCTGCATTCTGTTGTGCTAACTGACTTGGCATGCAACTCCTAAAACCATATCTTCTACAGCAACACTTTCAACAATATCACTTTTCTGATTGACACTTTCTTAAGTCATTTCAGATGTAAATTATTTCTTCTACCAATAACTCCTTTACAACGATTGCTCCTGCACCTTTAATAACTGTTGTATCATCTTCCATTTGGTTTCTTTCTCTTGCTTTGCTTTTTTGATGCTCTGTCACTGAAATGGTGACCAAACCCCACAGTATCAATCAGTTGAGACTCTCACCTTTGAAATCCTTCTTTTGAAGATATCTTTCCCTGAAGCTCCGAAGTACAACCTATGCTATTCACTGGTTTGATAAAAATCTTGAAAGAAAGGATCTTATTGAAAAATCTCTAGTTTCCAGGTGTGCTTACATACTATTTGCAAATTTGTTTATAAGCTCAGATTAGACTAAGTAAAAATTTCTTTATTCACCTACAGTTCTTAACTGAGTAGTTGATATCATAAAGATCATAAACACTTGATAAAAGTACTTCTCAGTGTCCTCTTATGAAAATAAAACTTTGCAATCTAGTCAGTACTAATGCTGACTATTATTTGAAGTTAAAAAGAATAGATTTGAATAGCAATACTGCATATGACAATTTTACCACTGTCACTGGACCCAGTTGCTAACTGCATATATTTTTTTCCTCTTATTCTTTACACTTCAAAATTTTAGAAGCCAATATGCAGAAATGGTCCTGCTCAAGTACAAGGCAACTGAGTTACTGTATGGCTCCAAGTTTTTACCAATACTATATTTGCTCAGAGCTTTCCTGGCTCTGTCTAGTATTCATTGTCTTTCAGTTTCACAAGTGCTAAAAATAACCAGCATCTGAAAAACTCCCTTTCAAGAAAACAAACAAAAAGCCAAGCAAAATTCAACGAGGGATTATTTCCTTCTGATCTTTTGGTCATGATTTCAGCTCTCCATGAAAACAACATATGGGTGGAGTACTGCACAGACTGGAAAGGACAGCTATGACCTCAGTAAGTACTGTTGTTGAAGTAGGAGAGCGTTTTCCACAGTTGAGTGTTTACAAATCGAGAGGCTCTTTATGGGATGACATTTCACACTGTTTGAGGTTTCTGCAAGAAGAAGGGGAGGTAGAGTTTGTTGGTTTCTTTTTTAAACAATTCCACTGCGTATTTCTATGTGTTAGAAATCAGGAAGAATACAGAATTGTGTTTAGCATATCAGGAACAATTATTACACAATGATTGAAGTGTATGGCAATTCCTATATGCGTCACACCTGGGTGACCCACATAACACTCATCCACAGAGGTTAAAGAGTCTAAACTCCCAGTGAAAAATCTCTAGTGAGACCCAAGGCTGAGTGTGAGCACCAGGAGCCAACAAATTCAGCTCTGCAAACCCTGGGACACAAGGAGGGGTCCTGTCTTCAAGCTTTATCTTTTGCTGAGGAACTGGGAGATTTGTGCTCAGCAAGAGAGTTTCCAGGTTCTTTCGGAACCTCTATTTTCTCCTGTGGCTACAGTACTTATCTTCTATCTACAATTCCAGTATTCAACCCACTGTTATGCAAATCTTTACTATCTCTACTCCATAAATGCAGGAAAAAGTGGTTTGTCCTTCCAAGCTGGGATCTTCTAAAAGATCAGTGCCTTAAAAAACTGGTAATGATGGTCACACAATTGCCTCAAAATGCTATGAAGTTGCTGTGAATATATTGCTGTTCCTTTTCAGTGGAGCTCTAATTCACATAAAGGTCTAAAAAGATAATTCAATCAGTTTAGTGCTTAATTTATACTGTATACACTGTGTTGTGTGTATATCACAGCACTTCAGCACTTTCTGTGTTCAGGCTTTGTCAATTAGATTAATTATGTACTTGATTAAGTAAGCAGGATTTAATACTAAAATTTTGCAGGTGATTGGGGCAAGCTGATTGCAGCCTCTCATAACTACACAATTACTAATTTTCCTGGTAGGTCATAATCATCTGGTGTACATTCTGCTAGCTTCTCCAAAAAGTCTACCTGAGCCTTCATCAAAATATTTAGGCTGTTCCTCAAGGGTGACAAACCAGCTGCAAACCCTGCATATTTTCTACATACCAGTAAGATGTTGGTAGTATATTGACAGTATTTTCAATCTGTATTTGAGTCACAGTTATGGGAAAGAGTGTAGACATATGTATTCTCTTAATTTCAATGCCAGAATGGGAGAAAAAAGGGAAACTAGAGAAATTAGGTTATTAGATTATGCTTTATAGCACTGGCCAACAACTTAATCTGATTTTGCCTTAATTGCTGAACAGCAAAACACAGTCAGTCCACAAAGGGACTGAAAATGAACTGAAAATCTGTAGCTTGGGATTTATTTAACAAGTCCTTTTTTTTTTTTTTTTTTTTTTTTTTTTTTTTTTTTTTTTTTTTTTTTTTTTCACTAGATAGGTTTATCTCAGTCTTTATCACTAGGTTTATTTCAGTTAGTTTTATTCTGAAGGGCAAGTTTTGGTTTGTTGGGTTTTTTTGTTTGCCTATTTTTTCTTTTTATGGGCATGAGAAAGGAGACAATTTTCCTCCAAATAAAGCACAGCTTTAAAGAGGTAAATCTGCCAAAGCAGCTTATGCCCAACACTGCTGGCAATCGTCCACAGATTCTGTTCAGTCACTGTGGAAAAAAGATTTCTGGAGAGCAGATGATCAACATCCTATAGCACTGGACTGAGACAGAATGAAAGAGGTCATGTAAATGGAACATATGACTTTCGGTGACAAGCTATTGAGTTGTAACTTTAGAGCACAACATAAGTAAAATGTTTTTATGCCTGAATACAAATCTAGATGACAATGTCTAACAATAAATCTGAGCCAACAGACATGGACATGATCATATGTAAGTATGATCTACTAAAAAAAAAAACCTTCTAATTCTTCCTACTTCTTGTTCTGAAGCAAAACAGTGAAAAATTATAATGTTTCAATGTTAAAATAACTGAGTCATTTATTAGCCAAATATGTAAAGAAACTGTAAATTCTGAATATGTAAAGAAATGCAAAGCAATACTTTTTTAGTAGAAAACAAAATTTAAAAGGCAACAATTTATTGGTACAAAGCTAAATTACATGGACTCAGGATTCCTAATTATTTGGATACCAAAGCAATAACTATGAGAACAAGGACAATTTATCAGAAGAAATTTCAGTGCTTCTTTATAAAGAAAAAAAATGAACAGCTTCTGCCATGTAATTCGAACTTGTCACCCCAGCAAGTACAGAAGAATGCTGTGGGATAAGAGAAGCACAACTCAGCATCCGCCTGTCACCTGGTAATTTGCAAGTGGTCAAATTCTGCCAGAGAACAATCAAGGAATGCTACATTTTGACTGTGTTCAGAGCTAAAGTTAACAATTCAGATGAAAGACATCTCTTTTTTTTGAGTGTGAGGGCTTTGAAACAGAATACTGCGACGAAAAATGTTGAATCTAGGATTAGTTTCTCACCACGACAGATACTCAGAGCAATGCAGATACATTCTTTATTAGCAGCTACAGTGTAGTGCTTCCAAAATAAACTACCATAATGAACTAAACTTTAGAGCAAATTTATTAGATCTTGATTGAGACTGAAAGAATTTGAGCTGATAACACACATAAAAAATTACAAGAGTTTTAATTATCACAAAGTAAAATAGTTTCTCCATTTCCTTTTTTTCAAAGCAATGCTCTTGCATTCTTTCTTCCCCAACCCTCTTCCTCCCTTCTTTCCCTCCCCCCCCCCCGTTTTTTTGGTTTTTTTTTTATTTTTTTGTTTTTTTTCCTTTAGAATTTCTAGTTGTTAGAAAGCTTTTTAGGTTTCTTTTGCTTTCATTTAATCTCTTCTTTTCCTCCTATTTATCTTACAATGTTTTAGTTAGTTCTGTTGTCTTGATAATATTATTCATAGCTTTTTACATAACTTCTAATGACAAGTTTATCTTTCTGGTAGAAGCAAAGAAAGCATCAAAAGATATTTTCTGATTTTTTATTCCTCTTAATAGCCATTCAATTTTCCATTCAGCTTCAATTTCTTTACTTTACTCTTCCCAATTTGGAAACACAGAATTGTTACTTGTCCAGAATTTTGATCAATCAACTCAATCTTTTCCTTTCCTACAATAAAGTTCAATTCTTATTTTCATGTAAATTTGTTTATCTCTTTCTTTTGCATTACCTTTGACATTATCATAGTTCAACTTTATACTTTTAAAATTTAGCATAAGGCTGTGTAAATAACCTGAGCTCCTTAACTTCAGTTATTATGTTAATCAACTGCATCATTGAAGTCTGCAAGAGAAATGCATAGATTCCAGATTTGAACTCATTCAAAGTAGAAATCTACTGACAGTTGGAGAATAATCATTGTATTTGCATGCTTGTGGCTGATTGTATGAGGCTTGCTGTTTTCATGGTGCCAAGAATAAGTTTACTGAAAGAGAGAGGAGCAGTTAAACTTATCTTACAAATATTCAACTACTAGCATATAATAATGCAGAAGATTGGAAGAAAATACACCATTGATTCACAGTGTGACATTTATACATATAGCTGAATGAGTGAATTGCAATTTTAAAGATAAATTTCAAGATACTTATTATTCCTGAAGGCACAGTTAACTTTTCCACCAACTTGAGCCATCAGTGAATAAACAATTAGTAACGAACAGAAATAGCTGTTGGTATATACACGTGCACCTGATCCCAGCTTATACTTCATCACTGCAGTAGCTTCAGGAAGTGAAACTTCTTGACTACATGAAAACCATGTGGATTCCCACACTTTTTTTGTAGGTGATAATGAGACATTCTTCTATTTCAGTTCCCATCTGGAAAGTGATATTAACTATCCTTATCACCCTCACAGGTCAAAACGTGTTCCTTTATTCCTTATTTGCATATTCCTTTCAAAATTCAATAAAAAATTAAAGAAACACCTTGACTAGCATAATACATGATTGTCAAATGTCATTCATAAATGTCTGCAGTTTTCTAGGGAAACTTGAAGATTTTTTCCTGATAAATATGCAGTGTGAGTTTTTGTGCAGAAAAATTTCCCCAAGGAAAACAATGTTTGAACATGCCTAAAATCTCAAATACAGACACAGAGACAGTGAACACAGACTGTTGGTCTCTTAGAAGCTGTATGTAAACACAACAATTAACTCTTCATTCCTTTCATTTATTCAAGTCACTTCTGGCAGTTGGACACACCTACAGCTTTCTTACTAGCAACACAAACAAAAAGGCAGGTTCAGGATTATGAAAGCAGAATTATGCAACTTGGGTGTGTTCAAGCTCACCAAAGTATCCTAACAAAAGGAGATTCTGGAAAGCAAGACCAAGAAAGAAGATTATACAACTAGAATCTTCCTTCCATTATACACAGTGATAAGCAGCACTAGATTTCCTGCTCTTAAGTCAGCCAGCCAGACTAAAATAAACAAAATTAACTATCTCTTTAGTTTAGGAAACACTAATAAATGTAGTAAGAAATTCTATTTTTTCCTTTTTATCAGAATGGATATGTTTTTCAGAAATATAAATAAGATTATGAAATGGTTTCATTTATATATATATTTTATATAATGGACATGGCACTAAAGAATAGAACAGCAGTTCCAGGATAGCCCACTGATATCAGCTCACAAACGTTGAAAAAGTAAAAGTGTCTTGGTTTAGAAATAATACCTCATATATAATCATGGTCTTCCTCTTAATTTCTAACTACTAATAAAGCTAAGTTTTTTAATCCACTGTATTTATATATTTATGGATCAGACTGTAAAGTTCTTCTAATTGAAGATAGGCACCTATTCATCTTTAGATACACAAAGTCAGCATCTGTGCCTTTTTTTGCTCATACTTCTGGGTGCCCAACTGTTTTTTTAAAATTTATTCTTGTTGCATTGCACAACTTCAGTAATGTAAAGCAGCTAGAAATCCAGGCTAATTAGTTTTATGTCTTGCCTGATCGGTCTCAAATCAGGGTATGATCATCCAGGTTTTATTACTGCAACTCACATCTGCTAACAGAGCTTTACGCCCATAACCTCCATTAACACCATTATATTTGTTTCTTCAATTATTTGCAATTGATCATTGAGGAGTGTCAACTTTGTCTCTCCTGCCTGTTCAGACCCCCAACTTTTAAATTTCCTTAAATATAACATCTGCTCTACTGCCTGAGTTTCTGTGACTATGCTCTCCTCAGAGAAAAAATGGTCAGCCAAGCTCACAAGTGCAGCTTAGCTGATGATATGATATTCTCTCACCATAAAATCTCAAGGAAGGATTCATTTTTGGATGTCTCTCTCCCCAGTAGGAAAAAAAACTACAAGCTTTATGAGTTCCATTAAAAGGTATTTCTTGTTCTTATTGTAACAAGGTGCATTGGCTTTACTCATGCATGAATGGAGCATTCAAGCTGCAAAATAGCACCCAAATAGGTGGTCAATGTGGATAATAACAGAATCTAGTAATGTGATTGGATCAGTGCTCACGAGCGTTTGTTTTAATTTACTTGGGAGAATGAAAACTCAGTCCAAAAACTTAGATATTTTTTTCAAAATACTTATGTTTAAAAGAACTCTTCCCCCTCCTCTTTTTTTATTTTATTTATTTTTTCTCTTAAACCACTACACAATGTTTTGCCTTACTTTGATATATCGGCTTGGCCCAATATTTTCCTGAATACAGTGATCTGATATGTGAGATATTTTTTCCACTCCATGACCGGAAAGCTAACAAGTAATACTCTTCAACTACTGTTGCTGTAATAGTTCATTCCCCTCACCTTATGGAAAGAAGATTTTTCCTTTGTTATAATGAGCTTAAGATAAAACCTTTATAGAACAGCTGCTGCATTCACAAGGTCTGGAAGCTTGCTTTCTCACAAGCAGCTTTCTTGCAATAGCACCTCAAGTCAAGATGCCCACACTGACATATGTTCCTTGATATCAGAGCAGGTGAAGCTGCACCTCCCTGAGTATACCAATGGCAACATCCAAGCATCCTATGCGATCTTGACGTATTATTTTTGGTCTGTGTGAGTAACCTACATAAAGCAAAGATACTGTGTATCACATTTGTACAGATTCCTCTAAGGAGATGATGGATTTTCCCTGGGAATTCTACTGGCATAAAGAGAAATTCTGTGATCTGAGTAACACAGATGTAACCCTCATTCTGCTGCAATGTCCACATAGATACAAGTTGTTACTAAGTGTTGTTACTAAGTGCTCCAGATACATGTAGTATCCAGGTGAATATGGCAGTCTTCAGCTTGGAGATTCACAGGTTTTGCAGGTTTATCACAAGCAGTGGCACAGTGTAATAATGAGATTACATAGACTCCCCACAGACACTTAAACCAATGTGCATCAATGAAGGCATAATCCTCTTAAAAACACTGAAG